TCTTAAGGTGGATCGTTTATTCACTTCCATTGCTCCGAAATTAGTGAACATTTTTGCTCCACTTTGGATAATCCTTGCGATTGACTGAGACTTTAAATCACCTTATCTGTGCCCTTGAAATTGACTCCGGAATTTTCGGTAACTGCTCATACCTTTACTCTGTGACAGTTCCAAAGTTCGCTTGTCACCTTTTACATCAGTCACTTTAAATATAAACTATTTCGGAAAATGTGAATATAAAACCGTGCCATCCAATAAGGAATTTCTTTTACCCCTCTATTATTTAACTGAAAATTTACAATCTATACTAAGTGTTAAGCTTTTAGTCAAGTACAGACTGGATTCTGTTTAAGTGGACTGATAGATCTCATTTCTCGATAGCGCTCATTCGCCCATGTGGAGTAGCGAAACACCCCATTTTCAATTGGCTAATTAGCTGACGTCGATAGACCTCGAGTGTCATCCAATCAGATTGACACAAATTCTGCCTCTCGGGCTTAGAATATTCAACAATGAAGGCGTATTAAGAGACCATAAATGCTCTTAATTCACAATCTTTAATAGATCGTGACAATAAATGTACTTGCAGGGGCACGCTTGTCTGTTTATACCAATGATTAGAAAGGTGTGCGGATTACCAATGGAGAGGTTGGTTGGTGAACAAGTCCCTAAAAAAATATTAGTGAGCGACTACAAAGCTCGTGCGGTTTTTTGTATGCCTTGATGCAGAGATTTGTTGTAGTTTTGAGAATTTGCGAGGTGCACACCATTATTTATGTGCATGTTAAAGCAGTAGCAATCAATCAGTACCATTTGGTTAACGTCTAACTATCTTTCGCTGATTTTAAGTAATCGTCCAAGGAATTATTGAAGTCGTAAAAATTTCTCCTCCGATTTGTTGCTTTGCATTAAGAGGAAGTGTAGCAGCAGAACCTAGCACTCAGAAATGCTTTCAACAATTGTTTTCACCTGATGCATTACTATCGTCATGGCTCTCTAGTCTCACCTAACTTGGGGAATTTCGTGTGGCTATCGGTCCTAGAAGTTAGCGATAAGTGTCAAGAGCAGCACTTGAATATGAGTGGAAAGCTATCAATCCATTTGCATCTACATGAAGTAAAATGGAAGAAAACCCTCATCCCTCCATAAAACGTAGCTATGTGGAGATTTCTACTTGATGATAGAGGAAGGGAAGGAGACGCTTTTTTCCCAGGTGGTGATGATTGTGATAACACTCTCGAGGTAGCTACCATGACTACGTTTTGTTGGTAATACACTATATGATCCAGCAAGAAATGGAATGGACAGTTGTGACATGAGGTGCTAGAAATGGAGCACAATGGTAAGGTAACGGAAGACCTGATATCATTTCATTAGCGTTTCCAACGTTATTCAGCTATCTTTCTATGTCAAATCTTCATAAATATCTTGGACCGTAGCTTCCTGTAGCATTAAGCCTAAACTGGATTCTTCTGTCAACGCTTACGGTGGCATTCTTGGCTTTCCTGTCAGAATTTCAGGAGGGCTTAATCCACCCCAGCAGATGCCTTTCTCCGGTAGTCATACGATGGACCTAGAGGTAAGACTTCTTTAAAGTATTAACAAAAACTACTATATCCTGGTTTTATTGCCATCTGTTGACCCCAAAATGAGTGCACCTACACCTGCATACAAAGTAAAACACAACGATCGCCCGGAGTTTCCAACTACCTGACCTCAAATGGGGTGTTTATCACCATATAGCTCACAATGTGGGTAGCTCATGAATTTGATCTACAAAGCTACCACCCTTACTGCCAGCATTTGAGAGAAGAGTCGACCAACACACTTTTTACAAGCTGACAAAAGATGCACGTTGCATGAGACTGAGGCATTCCGGTTGAAGTAAGAAACATGAAGCGTCACGTATAGGTGACACTGGCAGCGGGTTTGTTAAGCACTAGAAAGCAGAAGTACAAAAATGTGGCTTACTGATTTCGCTGTACCCTTTATTGGAAAAGCCATCAGCTGTTTATGGGGTTGTGGGTAAATGTGTTGCCTATTTGAAGGGCAGTTCTACTTGTATAGACTTCATCATTTTGCATAAAACAAACAATTAAGATGGATATGTCATGTTTTTATTGTTGAGCAGCACTTGAAGTGGTAAATTCAGTAGTGTAAGTGTTTGCCACATTAGAATTCCAATGTAGAACGTCCCCAGATGAAAGATGATAATAATACTCGAACAGAATATGTATTGTAGATACACAGAAGAGCTTGGGGGCTACTGGTAAGGCCCAAAGCCCAGAACTAAGAGTTAAACCAATAATTAACGCTTTACATAGCCCTGCCCTTTCACAAGCGTCGTTCTCAGCTCTTTCCCTTGCCATTTCGACTAGATCTGGAGTTTCATCCTGCATTGGGGTCTGTATCGGGCGTCGAGGGAATGTCCTACCCATCATGCATACCCACCGCCACTCGCAGGAAATCTGCCCTGAAAGCAGTCACATCCATCCAGCTTGCGGAGAAATGGATGACGATGGAAATAAAAAGTAAAAAGTTAAGTAAAAATTCTTAGAGTAAAGATACTATTTTGCTCATACACCATATTACGTAGATTGGGGATATGAATCTCTCCCTTGATCACTAGTGGCCAATTAATGTCGATGGCAGGGCCATCGGTGAAGCAGTAACACGCGGTTACTAGGGCTACATAACCTAGTCGAAGTCACCTCGACGTCCCCGAATGAATCATCGAGGAAGCGCGTAAAGGACAAGTGTCAGGTTGGGGGAAAGGTAGCAAGGCCAAATAGAGAGCTGATTTCCCTAAAATAATGTCTACTTAAGATAGGTAAATGATCCACGCAGTATTTCACTGTGATGTCATGAAGTTTACCACCATCACCCCGTACAATAACAGAAGATGGAGGGTTTATGTCCAACGGATATGCGAGGCAGCTATAAATGCCTAATAAGTGGTATATTGCAGTACCCACCCATTCATTGACCCACTGCAGTAGCCTCTTGCACCATGATATGAAGTCCTCGAAAAGAGTGGGGACAACCCCTGCCAAAAAATTAGTAGTATTAGTAATATGGGAGGATGGATGGATATGGGATGAACACAGGATGGAAATGTGATGGGTACTGCATGGAAGCATACGGGATTAATAGATGGACAAGTAAAAATGGAATAAGAATTGCCGAATGTAACTAGGACATGAGACTATGCGATAAAACAAATGTTATACATGACTCATTTCTCCCCCTCCTTTCTCTCTGTCCTTGTATGGGGGTGTGTCGTCCCCCTTATCTGACAAACCGGTTTTAACAAAGAACTTTCAAAATGCCAAACGTAGAAGGAGGGACTATCGCGCCATTTGGACCCGTCGTTCCATATTAACAGAAGAAAACAATGTCTTCTTTAATTTTTGGTTTCGATCAAATGATATGCCAAGGAAAAATATGAAGAAGACTCCGTGATGTCAGATATGACAGCGATCACAATTGCGCCATTGTTGGTACTTCAAGCATCGAGCGAGTTGACTTCAAATGTGGGAAAGTGCGAGGAAGTGATGAGAATGTCACGTGGAGATTTCACCACTAGTAAGAGGTGATCCAGCTGTGAATAGGTGGAACTCTTGGGGAAATGACAAGTTGTAGTGGGTAATGGCGAGTAAAACGCGTTTGAAGGAGGTGGCGTACAAAGGGAATGGAGGTGGTTATTGGTGTGTGAAGGGAGGCACATGAAAGTGAGCAGTCCGTACTCGATCGTCATCAGGCCATCCAATCCGGTATAAAATTGGCGTTGCAACTTCGGCATTGTGATTTCATTCAACTTTGCAAACAACCTCACCATTGAAAGCAGGCGTGTCGGAATCAAGTACGATTCAGTTGTGTATGAGTGTCTGAATCACAGGTTAAGTGGATGTGTGCATGTTGCCCGTTGTCTGTCTGAGACCCTGACCACAAAACCGAGACGGGATCAGTAATGGAATTTGTAATTACCCAACATCAAAAGGAAAATAATCATGATGTCTGAGTTGACTTGTGGATGTGAGATTGTGACGTGCAAATAAACTGCATAAGGGTGATACTGTTCTTCATTTTAACAAATTTAATGACAAAATTCACCAGATGTGATGAAGCATTTAGCAAATCCAACATCACCTTCATTACTCTCATTATCTGATCGCTGATATAAACATCCTCCCCCATAAATTATTGATGGGAACATAAGAACCAACTCGTCAGCTCCTCGTGTCCTATTATCTTGCGTCAGTACCGCCTGTTGTCCTTGCTCCCTGTTGTAGCTCTTAAGGTGGATCGTTTATTCACTTCCATTGCTCCGAAATTAGTGAACATTTTTGCTCCACTTTGGATAATCCTTGCGATTGACTGAGACTTTAAATCACCTTATCTGTGCCCTTGAAATTGACTCCGGAATTTTCGGTAACTGCTCATACCTTTACTCTGTGACAGTTCCAAAGTTCGCTTGTCACCTTTTACATCAGTCACTTTAAATATAAACTATTTCGGAAAATGTGAATATAAAACCGTGCCATCCAATAAGGAATTTCTTTTACCCCTCTATTATTTAACTGAAAATTTACAATCTATACTAAGTGTTAAGCTTTTAGTCAAGTACAGACTGGATTCTGTTTAAGTGGACTGATAGATCTCATTTCTCGATAGCGCTCATTCGCCCATGTGGAGTAGCGAAACACCCCATTTTCAATTGGCTAATTAGCTGACGTCGATAGACCTCGAGTGTCATCCAATCAGATTGACACAAATTCTGCCTCTCGGGCTTAGAATATTCAACAATGAAGGCGTATTAAGAGACCATAAATGCTCTTAATTCACAATCTTTAATAGATCGTGACAATAAATGTACTTGCAGGGGCACGCTTGTCTGTTTATACCAATGATTAGAAAGGTGTGCGGATTACCAATGGAGAGGTTGGTTGGTGAACAAGTCCCTAAAAAAATATTAGTGAGCGACTACAAAGCTCGTGCGGTTTTTTGTATGCCTTGATGCAGAGATTTGTTGTAGTTTTGAGAATTTGCGAGGTGCACACCATTATTTATGTGCATGTTAAAGCAGTAGCAATCAATCAGTACCATTTGGTTAACGTCTAACTATCTTTCGCTGATTTTAAGTAATCGTCCAAGGAATTATTGAAGTCGTAAAAATTTCTCCTCCGATTTGTTGCTTTGCATTAAGAGGAAGTGTAGCAGCAGAACCTAGCACTCAGAAATGCTTTCAACAATTGTTTTCACCTGATGCATTACTATCGTCATGGCTCTCTAGTCTCACCTAACTTGGGGAATTTCGTGTGGCTATCGGTCCTAGAAGTTAGCGATAAGTGTCAAGAGCAGCACTTGAATATGAGTGGAAAGCTATCAATCCATTTGCATCTACATGAAGTAAAATGGAAGAAAACCCTCATCCCTCCATAAAACGTAGCTATGTGGAGATTTCTACTTGATGATAGAGGAAGGGAAGGAGACGCTTTTTTCCCAGGTGGTGATGATTGTGATAACACTCTCGAGGTAGCTACCATGACTACGTTTTGTTGGTAATACACTATATGATCCAGCAAGAAATGGAATGGACAGTTGTGACATGAGGTGCTAGAAATGGAGCACAATGGTAAGGTAACGGAAGACCTGATATCATTTCATTAGCGTTTCCAACGTTATTCAGCTATCTTTCTATGTCAAATCTTCATAAATATCTTGGACCGTAGCTTCCTGTAGCATTAAGCCTAAACTGGATTCTTCTGTCAACGCTTACGGTGGCATTCTTGGCTTTCCTGTCAGAATTTCAGGAGGGCTTAATCCACCCCAGCAGATGCCTTTCTCCGGTAGTCATACGATGGACCTAGAGGTAAGACTTCTTTAAAGTATTAACAAAAACTACTATATCCTGGTTTTATTGCCATCTGTTGACCCCAAAATGAGTGCACCTACACCTGCATACAAAGTAAAACACAACGATCGCCCGGAGTTTCCAACTACCTGACCTCAAATGGGGTGTTTATCACCATATAGCTCACAATGTGGGTAGCTCATGAATTTGATCTACAAAGCTACCACCCTTACTGCCAGCATTTGAGAGAAGAGTCGACCAACACACTTTTTACAAGCTGACAAAAGATGCACGTTGCATGAGACTGAGGCATTCCGGTTGAAGTAAGAAACATGAAGCGTCACGTATAGGTGACACTGGCAGCGGGTTTGTTAAGCACTAGAAAGCAGAAGTACAAAAATGTGGCTTACTGATTTCGCTGTACCCTTTATTGGAAAAGCCATCAGCTGTTTATGGGGTTGTGGGTAAATGTGTTGCCTATTTGAAGGGCAGTTCTACTTGTATAGACTTCATCATTTTGCATAAAACAAACAATTAAGATGGATATGTCATGTTTTTATTGTTGAGCAGCACTTGAAGTGGTAAATTCAGTAGTGTAAGTGTTTGCCACATTAGAATTCCAATGTAGAACGTCCCCAGATGAAAGATGATAATAATACTCGAACAGAATATGTATTGTAGATACACAGAAGAGCTTGGGGGCTACTGGTAAGGCCCAAAGCCCAGAACTAAGAGTTAAACCAATAATTAACGCTTTACATAGCCCTGCCCTTTCACAAGCGTCGTTCTCAGCTCTTTCCCTTGCCATTTCGACTAGATCTGGAGTTTCATCCTGCATTGGGGTCTGTATCGGGCGTCGAGGGAATGTCCTACCCATCATGCATACCCACCGCCACTCGCAGGAAATCTGCCCTGAAAGCAGTCACATCCATCCAGCTTGCGGAGAAATGGATGACGATGGAAATAAAAAGTAAAAAGTTAAGTAAAAATTCTTAGAGTAAAGATACTATTTTGCTCATACACCATATTACGTAGATTGGGGATATGAATCTCTCCCTTGATCACTAGTGGCCAATTAATGTCGATGGCAGGGCCATCGGTGAAGCAGTAACACGCGGTTACTAGGGCTACATAACCTAGTCGAAGTCACCTCGACGTCCCCGAATGAATCATCGAGGAAGCGCGTAAAGGACAAGTGTCAGGTTGGGGGAAAGGTAGCAAGGCCAAATAGAGAGCTGATTTCCCTAAAATAATGTCTACTTAAGATAGGTAAATGATCCACGCAGTATTTCACTGTGATGTCATGAAGTTTACCACCATCACCCCGTACAATAACAGAAGATGGAGGGTTTATGTCCAACGGATATGCGAGGCAGCTATAAATGCCTAATAAGTGGTATATTGCAGTACCCACCCATTCATTGACCCACTGCAGTAGCCTCTTGCACCATGATATGAAGTCCTCGAAAAGAGTGGGGACAACCCCTGCCAAAAAATTAGTAGTATTAGTAATATGGGAGGATGGATGGATATGGGATGAACACAGGATGGAAATGTGATGGGTACTGCATGGAAGCATACGGGATTAATAGATGGACAAGTAAAAATGGAATAAGAATTGCCGAATGTAACTAGGACATGAGACTATGCGATAAAACAAATGTTATACATGACTCATTTCTCCCCCTCCTTTCTCTCTGTCCTTGTATGGGGGTGTGTCGTCCCCCTTATCTGACAAACCGGTTTTAACAAAGAACTTTCAAAATGCCAAACGTAGAAGGAGGGACTATCGCGCCATTTGGACCCGTCGTTCCATATTAACAGAAGAAAACAATGTCTTCTTTAATTTTTGGTTTCGATCAAATGATATGCCAAGGAAAAATATGAAGAAGACTCCGTGATGTCAGATATGACAGCGATCACAATTGCGCCATTGTTGGTACTTCAAGCATCGAGCGAGTTGACTTCAAATGTGGGAAAGTGCGAGGAAGTGATGAGAATGTCACGTGGAGATTTCACCACTAGTAAGAGGTGATCCAGCTGTGAATAGGTGGAACTCTTGGGGAAATGACAAGTTGTAGTGGGTAATGGCGAGTAAAACGCGTTTGAAGGAGGTGGCGTACAAAGGGAATGGAGGTGGTTATTGGTGTGTGAAGGGAGGCACATGAAAGTGAGCAGTCCGTACTCGATCGTCATCAGGCCATCCAATCCGGTATAAAATTGGCGTTGCAACTTCGGCATTGTGATTTCATTCAACTTTGCAAACAACCTCACCATTGAAAGCAGGCGTGTCGGAATCAAGTACGATTCAGTTGTGTATGAGTGTCTGAATCACAGGTTAAGTGGATGTGTGCATGTTGCCCGTTGTCTGTCTGAGACCCTGACCACAAAACCGAGACGGGATCAGTAATGGAATTTGTAATTACCCAACATCAAAAGGAAAATAATCATGATGTCTGAGTTGACTTGTGGATGTGAGATTGTGACGTGCAAATAAACTGCATAAGGGTGATACTGTTCTTCATTTTAACAAATTTAATGACAAAATTCACCAGATGTGATGAAGCATTTAGCAAATCCAACATCACCTTCATTACTCTCATTATCTGATCGCTGATATAAACATCCTCCCCCATAAATTATTGATGGGAACATAAGAACCAACTCGTCAGCTCCTCGTGTCCTATTATCTTGCGTCAGTACCGCCTGTTGTCCTTGCTCCCTGTTGTAGCTACTGCGTACTTCGCTGCGCCCCCAGCAATTAGTTAATGTCACGAAACAACACGCGGAGGCCAATTTATGTGACACTGCCGCGACAGCAAATGTCTCCTCCATTTACTGAAGAGGTGATGATAATAGTGA